ATCATCCATCTAATGAGTTTTCGTCATGCATCATTCATCCACCATCTCATACATCATCCATCTTGTGCGTACCGAATTCTGCCCTAGATAAAAGTGGATCAGGGCCCTGCACTCGGTTGGACTATCCAGGGACTGAGGTTCCTGCCACAAGAAGCACCGTTAGAGCTACCCGGCCAGGGTTAGCCGGATAACCCCTCTGATATTGGAATCAGTGATCGGAGAAGGAGTGTATATCGAGTTGAGTTTATATCTAAATGTGATTTTTCTTGGAATAGTTCAGTTACCTTCAATGTGAAGTTCATGTTGTATATATAGTGTTCCTTGCTTGCTTCTCAAGGTGGGTTCATGGAGCTTAGATGTTGCCAGGTGTCCTTTTAGCATTGCTCAAGGTGGGGGACCACCTGGTAGTTGTCATTGAATGCATATACTCATTGTAGTCATGCTGATAACAAACCACATTCCTTTGGTTCAACAACTTCCCTGATTCTAGGTGTAGGGGACCAGTTGAGGTGGCAACTTACACATGCACACATTCACAACTTCCACGTTTCCTTGCGAGGTTTCCTCAGCTCGGTACTGCTGTGCCTCAGTTCGGCATCATTATGCCTTGTCTCGACCTTTTACAGGATCATTCATGGAGATGGGTTGATCTATTCAGATATCTTTGTATGGGCTCGGCCTATTTTTTGTTCGATCCATAGGTTTAGTCTCATAGCTCGGCCCATCCCAGCACCACGACTGGACTAGCCTTTCCACTGCGGGTTGGGCCCAAGTGCTTGAGGACTTGGGTGGACTGTTGATCATGCAATTGGACTCAATTGGTTTGCCCATATACTCATCTAACCCACTTGGATTTGGCCTTCAGTGGATTGGGCCGGCCCAAGGCTTGGACCCGACGCATTTCACATTTAGCCCCTTCATTTGCCCCTTAGCTCGCTCTAAGGTTCCCCTTGGGGAGAGCTATTGTTCTGCTTCCCAAGCGTCGCGTCATTTCGATTTTTCCCAGTTCGGCCTTGGTGACGGTTCAATCCTGACACACAATCCCTACATGTGTCCTTTCATGGTGACACGTGGCGATGTGAGATAGGTGTGTAGAGATAGTGCGTTGATTCCATACCGAAGGTCGTGCTCCGTGTACCTGCGCGCCGGCTGGTGCAATTAATGCTCTGGCTGTCAATACAAACCCCTTTATCTGCTTTTTCGTTCCTCTAGAGAGTTTCAAAGAGAGAGAAAGAACTCTTCCCATTCCTCTGAACCAATCTCGTTGGTGCTCGGCTCAGACTTTTTCGCCGCTGCTCTTGCTCTGCTACCACTGTTCTAGTCTCTGTAAGTCCTCTTGTGATTCTTCTTCTCTTGCCTCTTTCTGTCTTAATCATCTTGTTTAGCCCATTCGCTGTCTGTGTTCCACACTCTGTTATCTGAGTCCTACCTCTGTCCCATTAGGTTTGTTAAATGGGGAAGTTCCGCTCACTGGTTGATACCCCAGAGGCCATGGCTATGTTCCGCCTAGACTATAATATTCCCGACAACGTTACCCTTTCGTTGGCAAAAGTAAACACCAAGCGTATGGGCACGAGGAATACCGTCGCTTTTCCCATCGCGACCATAGTTGAGGGAGGGGTTCGGTTTCCCCTTGATCCGTTAGTGCGCCGGTTGCTGTATCAAGTCCAGTTAAACCCAATGTAAGTATCTGTGAACCTTTTCTGTGTTGTTTGCGGTGTATCCGCCCTCAATAGATGATTGGGTTTGAACCTTGACATATGGGATATCTTAGGTTGTTATACTCTTTCTCATAACAAAGGCCACAGCACGTATTACTTGCGTGTTCGCTCGTTTGATTGCCATTTGGTTACTAGGTTGCCCGATTCGGATAAACACAACAATGATTTCTTACAAGTTTGTGGAAACTGGGAGTTCCCCGCTAGAACTGAGTTTCAATCTAAGCGGATGCCCCAGAAAGACGGCTACCCAAGTTCAGGTCTCTCCTTCTAATGCCTTTTGTATTTCTTACTTTATTTTGGATGTTGCTCTAATGGGTCACTTTTTTTTTTTAGAGGCCTCTCGTTTCCAACGAAGACCGAACCAAGAGAATGCTGAAGCCATAAAAGCTACCCTGAGGTATAAAAAGAGATCTGCACCTGAGTTATTGGATTACCAGTCTACTTACCGCTCCACTATTCCAAAGAAGGCGAGGCTCGCTGCTTCTCTTCTGGACTCTGATAACGAGATCGACACGTCTCTCACTCCTTTGGTCACGAACCGTCGCAGGAGTCAGGGTGCACTTTCTGAGAGAGCGCCCTCCCCTGCCCCTAGTTTCGTAGGGGGCGGGTCTGTGGTGAAGAGAAGGGTGTTGGTGGATTTAGAGGCCGAGGCTTTCGGAGCCTCCGATGTTTTGGAAACCCCTCTGGAAAAGACAGAGGCGAAGAGCCGCATGGAAGTGAAGATGGAGGTGAGAACTTCTGGGACCCCTACGACTGCTGCCGAGCCCTCAACTTCGGTCGCTGTGCGAGCAAAAAAGAGAAAAAGAGAGGTTGGCAAAGCAGTGGTGGGGAAGCTTCTGAGGATCCTGCTGAGGATGAGGCTTTTAAGAAATGGGAGCCGCCAATGTCGCATAAAGGCAGGCCCATTTCCACTTCTGATTCAGTTGTCGTTTCACAAGATTTTGCCTTTGATTTGACTACGTTTTTGTTGATGCAGGTTGACATGGCCGACCATAATGGGCCTCGTGACATTCCTATCCTGAAGGGGACCCTTCAAATGACAACTGTTGTAAATGTTTCCTCATTTTACTTGTCTTTATTGTTGCGTTACTGTCTCCTTTTCTCTTAATTCTTCGTTGTCCATTGCAGTGTATCCAGAGAATGCATCTGTCCATTACCCGTGCTGAAGAACTAGAAAGGGCCGTGCTGGAGGTCGCAATGAACGCTGAGAAACTGACGGTAAGCTTGGAGACAGAGAAGGAAGGACGTCGAACCGCGAAGAGGGAAGCATTTCGTTTGAACAAGATTGTCGCTTCAGCTGAAAAATCGAAGGAGGCTGCTATTGGGACACAGGCTCAACTCAAGGAGAAGGTGGCCGAACTGGAGGCCGTTATTGCCGTGATGGATGCCGAGCGTTTTACGCTGGAAGCCAAACACTGGCAACAGGGTTGGGATGAAACTGGGGCTGCCTACAAGGAAGAGGTGCTAGTACTGCGAGATAAGAACTTTCTAAAGGGTTGGATGAGTGCTTTGGCTGCTGCGCTGGTTCTTGAAGGCTCTTCCCTGTTTCAGGATGTCCCCATTCCTTCGAGATCCTTGAGTTCGAAAACTGTTTCCACCCTTACTATTCTTCCAGCCGAAGTTTCCCCAGAAGTTGATTCTGCAAACAAGACCTAGGACAGTAATGTTGCCGCTGAAACGGTGGATGTTGAAGGGATTGAAACCCTGGAGACCGAAGCCACGAGAGATGTGGTTAAGGAGGCTTCTACTTCTCAGGAAGTTGGAGCTGCCTCTACTTTTCCTCCCCCAAACGGCCTGGATGAAATTGTTGATGCTACTCCTAAGTTTCCCTTTGTTAATGAAAGTTGATGTTGAAAGGATTTGAACTTTTTTTTGCTTTTCTGTTTTGATGTATTGTGGCTCGGTCTCCATAACGAGCTTTCTTTCTACACTTGCCAAGACAATTTTTCTTTTCTCTTTTCTTTTCTTTGCTACTGGTTATGAGGCCATCTGTGCCTTTTGTTGGATGACAGAATTTTCTCTTTGAACTTGCAATCTGATGCTGTTTGGCTTTTATGTCTGAATATTTTCTATACTGCCTGCCCCTGGCCGAGCACTGTTGGGACCTTGAGGATGAATAGAGGCTCAGTCTGGTTCTGTACTGCTTTTAAATAGATGCTCTGTCTGATTCTGTACTGCTTGCCCCCGGCCGAGCATTGTTGGGGCCTCGGGGCCGAACTGATGCTCGGTGTGGCTTTGTACTGTTTGCCCCTGGCCGAGCACTGTTGGGACCTCGGGGCCAAATTGATGCTCGGTGTGGCTAACGGATATGTGGTATGGCTGTGCTTGAGTTCGTAAGTGGGTCTTACTTAGGTCCAGGTTGGTTTTGAAAGAAAACAATTGTCTATCCCTACCTGGAGCTAAGTAACATTCGTACTGAAGATTGTGCTCTTAGATAGAATTGCTTAAGTCTGTTGCAACTTTGAGAGCGCAGATGCACTTGAATGAGATAAAGGCATGAAGAGGTGTCTTACTCAGGTCCAGGTTGGTTTTAAAAAAAAAACAATTGTTTGCCCCCACCTGGAGTTGAGTAAGACTAATGCTAGAAGTTTACTCCTGATAGAACCTGGTCATGCTTGTTTCAACTCTGTTTGTTTGAATCAGTACTGAAGTGTTGACGTGTTGGTACTTAAGGAATTCTGTGGATTCAAAGACGTTTACTTAAGATATGTTAGTGTGGTTTCCACGAAGCAATTCCACTTGGCTAAAGTCCAATTTAGTTGCCAAACATTATTCCATCAAGAAATACCACTTAACATGTTTGAGTGCTAACCAAATTTTTTATTCCGTCCAGTCGTTCTGAAACTAAGTCCATTTGGGTGAAGACCAAAGTTAATTCCATTTGATAAACATCAAAGCTAATTCCATTTGGTGAGGACCAAAGCTAATTCCGTTTGATAAACATCAAAGTTAATTCCGTTTGGTGAGAACCAAAGCTAATTCTGTTTGATAAACATCAAAGCTAATTACAAGAATTTGACAAATTTGGGAGAAGTGGGAAAGCATTTGCATTGGTCAACAGATGCATGCCTTTACATTCTGATAGAGAAGTTGGGGGATAATTCTATTGATAGTATTTCTTGAGATTTGCTGCGTTCTAGGGCCGAGGCATAGCTCTGCCATTCAGATCCTCTAGGTAGTAAGCTCCATTTCCAATAACAACTGTGACTTTGTAGGGACCTTCCCAGTTAGGCCCAAGTTTGCCCTCGCCAGGCACCCTTTTGTGATCTATAACTTTCCTCAAAACCAGTTCTCCTGGTGTAAATTGGCTTGGGAAAACTTTTTGTTGAAACTCTTGATGAGCTGCTGCTGGTACGCTACAAGTCTAATCAGTGCTGATTCTCTTCGGCCCTCTGCCATATCTAGTGCTTGTGCAATAGCTTCCTCATTACTGGTGTTCTCAAACAATTCAGATCGAAGGGTTGGGAGGCCTACTTCGAGTAGAATGACGGCCTTCATTCCATAAGTTAGGAAGTAAGGTGTTTCGCCCGTTGAGTGTCGTGTTGTGGTTCGGTATGCCCATAGCACGTGGGGTAACTCTTCAACCCATTTTCCTTTGGCATGCTCAAGCTGTTTCTTTACTCCGTTGATGATGGTTTTGTTTGACACCTCTGCCTGTCCATTGCTTTCTGAAGATCTTACCATCGAACTGCGCTCCATTATTCGCAATCAGTACTCGTGGGATGTCGAAACGTACCACCACGTTTCTCATGACAAACCGCTTTGTATCCGCTTCTTTGATACTTGCCAATGCCTCGACTTTGACCCACTTAATAAAATAGTCGGTTGCAGCAATGAAGAATCGGCTGTTCCCCGTGCCTCGCGCTAATGGTCTGACAATATCCAGGCCCTATTGGGCAAAGGGCCATGGGCTGGTGAGTGGAGTGAGAGTTTTGGCTGGCTGATGAATGAATGGAGCAAACCTCTGACATTTATCACACTTCTGTACGTACTGTTGAGCATCTTGTTGCATCCGTGGCCACCAATATCCGTGAGTGAGGGCTCGGTGCGCCAGTGACCTTCCGCCAACGTGGTATCCACAAATCCCATCGTGAATTTCGTAGAGAACATTCTCGACCAAATTTGGATGCATACATAGAAGATAAGGGCCAAGAGTAGGAGTGTCTATACAGCTTCCCGGATAGTGAGATCCAAAATCGAGCTAACTTATGTCTGACTTTGTTGGCTTCCTTTTTGTCTTCAAGGAGAGTACCAGATTTTAGAAAAGTAAGTATTGGATCCATCCAGCTCAGCTCTACGCTGCTGCAGAGGACTGGAGATACAATGCTTGGTTCTGGCACGAACACAACCCAAACTTTTCTGGCATCTTTGGTATCCACTTATGAGCCGAGACAAGCCAGAGCATCAGCATGGCCGTTTTTGTCCCGACTAATTTGTTCCACTCGTATGGATTGAAACTTTTTGAGTAAGTCTTTGGCCTTGCCTGTGTACACGGCCATTCTTTCATCCCGTGTTTCATAGACCCCAGAAAGCTGGTTTACCACTAGCTGTGAATCGCTGAAAACAAGAAGCTGCTCTGCACTGAAGTGTTCGGCACTGCGTAAGCCAACCAACAACGCTTCGTACTCTGCCTCGTTGTTCGAAGCCTTCCAACCGAGCCTGAGAGTCTGTTCCCAGATAAATCCTTCTGGTGAGATAAGTACTACTCCTTATCTTAAATTATACTGATTAATGCTTGGGAACACTAAAAAGGGAGCACTACAAGAGCACTAATGAGGTGGCTCTTCCTTTGATGTGATGGTTGTCTCTTGTGTTTTTCTTTTTTCTTTTATTTTTGATATTTTCCAACTCATTAGAGTTATTAGTGATGAGATTTTTTAGTGATCTCTATCATTGCTGAATTATACTATATCATCAATTAATACACTAATTAATATACTAATTGGTACATATATAATTATTTTATTATTATTAACTCCACTCATTAATCACATTATAAATATCAAAAATCTCTTAAATTATGTCACATCATCAATTGGTATATTAGTTAGTACATTAATTAGTGCATAGATCATTATTCAAACGATATTGATAAATGAGAATGACAACTTTTACATTTTTTCTTATTCTTAATGTCGTTACAATATTTTTATTTAAATTTTATTTTTGTCTATTTTTCAAATGCAAAATTACTAAAAATAATATTAGATTTTGTCTTCCAAAAATTTCAAAATTGGGGTGTGCTCAACTAATAATAAGGAGCCTAACAATTACATGAACCTATAAATAAGAAAATGGTAGAGAAATAACAATACATTATTGAATGGGCACACAGTCACATAGTTTTCCTAGCCTGCATAATAATTTTTAAATTACAAGACATTATAAGTATAGAAATTATTCGATAGGTCCAACATGTCTAACAGTTGATGTTAGTAATGGGCGCCCATGTGGCATGACCATTTGAATTTGAATTTGAACCTTATCCAAATAGGTTTTGAAATTGAATTCAAACCTATTTAGGATAACTACTCAGGATACAGATATTATCTCCATTAATTGAGATGGATAGATAATAATAACACATTATATATCTGGTATATGGGTTATGGGTGATTAAGAGAGAAACAACGTATGATCTGAGTTTTACCCATATACTGACTCTCTCCCAAAAAAACAACGATCAAGTCATTTGCACTGTGATTTGTGTGGGTTATATTCAATCTGTAATATCACTTCACTGCTGGGTTGGTTTATCAGATTCTGGAAGCACGTGATTTATCCACGAGGTTCTATCATCTAAAGGTATGATCTAAACATTTTATCTGCTGAATTTTTTATACTTTGATTTACAAGGTGAATTTGGAGGAAGAGGTCATGGAAAACTACATAGGATATTAAGAATGAGGGTGAACAAGGGACTGTCTTCACAATATATAGGCTTTGTTTGATAAGTGGATTTTTGATTTTTGATTTTATTTTTTTCATACGAAAATATAAAATAGTTAATAAGATAAAATATTACATTAAATTTATAATCATTTTATTTTTTCTCTCACGAATATCACATTCAACTATCTTCCAAATATAAAAATATTAACTTATTAAAACAGTTAAAAATTAAAATAACTTATTAAAATTGCCAACTTTCCGAACAATGGCACAAAAATATTTTTGTCTCTTGTAGAGTCCGTGGTTTTTTTTTTTTTTTTTAAGGCGGCGGGTTTAACTAATCATTTACATAATTGTTCACATATGACAACTCGGATTGGATAATTGTTCACACATGACAACTCGGATTAGATTTACAAGAGACATGTGTGGTTGTGCGAGCGGCAACTATACTTAACAGAATCTGTGGGGACATATTTTTTGGGTAGTCGACGTGGCCGAGGTTGTTAGCCGAGGTGCTACGTGGGCAGATCATGTTTGCCGAGATATTTGGGGCATTGCCGAGGTATTCTGCGGCAATATTGGAATCCGAGATAAGCGGATAAGGGACAAGAGTCCTAGAGGGAGAAGACTTCAATTTGGATAAAGATAAAACTCTTAGAGAGTTTATCCTAATCCTACTAAGAGTCCAAGATTAGCAGTAATCATAAGTTCATTAGAGCTAGACTTCTATTGGGACTAGGATTGAGTTTGCTATAAAAGGAGGCACCCCCATGGGTCTAAGGTATGTCTTTTATGCTTTGTCCAGTGAGTTTAGCACCATTGATTATCTTTGAGAAATATACTGACTTGATCGTCGGAGTGCCCCCGGGTGGACGAACCACCGCCGGAATCTTCTCTTTCTGTTGCAGGTCAGACAGGTGCTATCTATTCTGCCAGTGCTCTCAAGCTGAATACTCATTTGGCAGTGTGGTCGGAAATTGACACCCACAATTTGGTGCCGTCTGTGGGAAAGAAATGAGAGTAGATGGCCAACGAAGGACAGAAAGAGATGGCTGGGAACGACACCCCTACTGAGAGTGGGAAACATATTGACCTTGACGTCGAAGAAGACAACTGGAATGAAGAGACTCGTGATAAGAACCACGGAGGAAAGGATGTCCACCAGGAGGACGACGTACCGAAGAAATCGGACCGGTGCGGGTATTATAACAAGGACGACCTCTAGGTATGGAAAGATAGATGCCTACGGAGGGACGACGAGATAAAGAGAATGGTGGACAAATTGGCAGACCTGCAAAAGGCCATCAATTTCATGAGGCAAAACAACGTCATGCAGCCACCGTTCCCGCTACAAGACACGCCGATTCTAGTGGCCAAGAAAGGTGCCCAGAAAAGGGGGCAAAAAATGGTTCCTGCAGTCCCTTAGCATGGCGGAACCAAGGGACATTCTCGCCGGCCTTTGCGGGAGGTCGGGCATGGAGAATCCCATAAGGCACGTCGAACAAAAGAAATCTGCATCAAAGAACATCAGGATGTTCAGGGGAACGAACTCTGTTTCGACATGACCAGTGGAGGAAGGTCCAAAAGGACTCGCGATGACACTAGAAGTAGTGAACCAAAGAGGCTGAAATCCGAATATAGCCGAGCTCTTGGACGAACCAAAAAGGATCTGGGAGATCACCTACAGAGAAAGCAACAAGATGTCGAGGTAACCTCCCCGGTCAAGCCGAGAACGCAGTTCTCGGAAGAATTAGACAAAGTTGAGGTCCCGAAGAGATTCAGTATGCCGAGGTTCCAAATATACGATGGAAAGTCGGACCCCAACTTTCACATCGGATTATACCTGAATGCGATAGCGTTATACTCTGGGAATGAGTCGTTGCTCTGCAAAGTGTTCCCCTCTTCATTCGGGGAAATTGCATCGGACTGGTTTCACAAGTTACCGAAAGGAATTGTGAAAACCTGGGAAGGCCTGGCCGAGATGTTTGTGGCCAGGTTCGTGGCAAACAAACTACAGCCATTGAGGGTAGACGCCCTAATGGCCCTGAAGATCGGCGAGGATGAAAGCCATAGGGCCTATGCCAAAAGGTATTATGAGGTATTCAACCAAATACCAGGATGCAACCAAGAGGTGGCAGTCATATCGTTTAAAAACAGCTTGAAGGATGACTGCCTGCTTCGAAAATCACTGGCAAAGACATTGCCGAAAAGCATGGAGGAGCTGATGGCCAGGATAGAAAAGTATGTCAGAGCCGAGGAAGACATGCCGGGGACAAAAGTGTCCAAATAAGAGAAGAGAAATGGTTCGCCGAAGTAAAGCCGAGATAATACTGGACACGAGAAGACAAGAGCTTAGCCCAAGTAAGCAGATCCCAGATTCCAGATCTGGAATCCCAGATCCTAGAAGACAAGATCTTGACTTAGATGATTAAGTCCGAGAAGAGAAGAGCTTGGCCTAAGTTAAAGAATTTTTTCCACAAAGGAGTATGTGGAAGCCATGCAGGGGGCAAATCCCCTGCCCATAGAGCAATATCAAGGTCAAAGCCACGTGCCTAATGAGAACCTAAATGAAACTTAAGTTCACATTAGGGGGCAAAGGGCTGGAGAATGATGCTTGGGAGTTGGAATTTCACAAGCCGAGAACATGTTTAACACTTGTTGAAACTTGAGAAAAGTTAACAAGTTGAAGTTAAACCGAGATTATATTTAACACTTGTTGAAACTTGAGAAAAGTTTACAAGTTGAAGTTAAACCGAGATTATGTTTAATACTTGTTGAAATTCTGAGAGAATTTACAAGTTGAA